CGAGACGAGAGCAGGCGAAAAAAGCAGCGCAATGGGGTACCTGAGGATGCACATGGCAACGGCATGGCCACGAACAAGGAGAAAACGAACGGGCAAACCCCTTCGGCTATTACGTTCGGGTTGAATGTGATGCAGAAGAGGCCCGAAGAAGCGTCGCCTGAGGACGAAACTTCAGGTGATAGGAATGGGGCGACGAAATAGCAGGTAGCCGCATCACACTCATCGGCGACAACGACGGACGACCAGCGCGCCTTCGCAGCTCTCACAGGAGAGAAGACACACTCCATCCGGGTTGTCTCTGCAAGCAACGAAGATGAAGCGTTCCGACGCGACTATGGCTCCGCCCCTGACATGGCCACCCTTGCAGAGTACGAGGCCATGCCTATCGAAGAGTTTGGTGCCGCTCTGTTACGAGGTATGGGCTGGAAAGACGGAGATCCTATCGGGAAGCGAAAGGGTCAACAAGCTGCGAAACCTCGTCTGCTTGAGCGGAGGCCCGCGCTGCTAGGTATAGGAGCCAAAGAAGAAGCGGCTGTGGGTGTGGAACTGGGTGCTTGGGGAAAAGGAGCGAAAGGAGGGAGGCGTGATCAGCCTTACACGCCAGTGATCTTGAAAAATGCCAAAACTGGAGAGCAATTAACGGAGGAGGAGCTCAAAGTTAAGCTTGAGCAGCAGAAGATGGTCGAGAGTGCAGAGGCGGTTCAGAAGCGCAATGTGAGCGAGCGCGATAGTGACCGTAGAGAGAAGAGAAGGAGAAGTAGGGATCGTGATTATGAGAGCAGGCGTGTTCGCGATTCATCGGCCGACAGCAGCCGGCACAAATGGAGACACGATCGCGGACGGGACGACAGAGACCATCGGCGTAGTGACAAGGACGATCGCTACGATGACGAACGCCGTTCATCCCATCGTAGCCACCGCGATTCTGACAGGCATCGCCAATCTGGTCGTCACCGGAGATGACGGACGCAAACATGCTTCGCTCGCTTGGTACATTGCTAGAGACCTCTGTTGAGGATCTCGGCACCGGTCAAAAACTCGGAACTAGGTGGTCGTTATGATAGGAGTCTAAGGCCACTGTAGGTACAAAGCTTCCATGTTGGCACACTCCTCATTGTACTAGGTATCCTTCTACGTTGCTATGCTAAACCAAATATTCGCTGACAGACACTGACACTGGTGTGACGTTTCGTTTCTGCGATCCCACCTTGTGAGTCTCAAGAAGACACGGCCGTCATCTTAGCTTTGACATGACCACCGTAGTAGGTTGGTAAAAACTTGTCATGCCACAGTAGCTCCTGTGGGCTACAATCTTCATTAGCGTACTGGCATCTGCTGCAGGCTATGGCGCATACCTGGAACTGTCGAGCTCCATGTCGAAGTTGCGAAACACGTGAGCGAACTTGAGACGCAGCTCAGCCCATGCGAGGCTACCTAAGTGTCAGGAGAAACACAACATGATATGTCTCGGAAACATACTTGATACCTAGACACATCCGTGGACCTTTGGAGAAAGGGACCAACCACTTCTCCAGCTCAGGATCTTCGAGCCATCGCTCAGGGCTGAATGCCATCGGATCATTGAATGTGTCTGCGTTGTAGTGGACGAATGTATTGCCACATGACACAATGGTCTGAGAAGACGTGAGCATGATCAGCGCATGATACTGGTCCGCCCGAGGGGCTCGGAGCCTACCTTTCCAGGGACAATGGTTCCACAGATGCTTGCGCCTTCGGGTGGCACGACCCGTGACAAGCCAGTGGTTACACCACTGGTTAGTCGTAAGGCCTCTTTGATGACAGCTGTCAGATATGGCAATCTTTCCAACGTTCTTAGGTCCGGCGCTCTCTCCATGACGGGCCAAACCCCTACCAACTCTTCCTTGAGCGCCTGGTAAGCTTTCGGTTGCTTCATTAGATGAAAGGACCCAAGCATCAAGGTGTTACCAACTGTGTCAGCACCCGCAAATAGTACCGTTTGCGCTTCATCACGCAACGATCCCGTCGTCGGCACTGTATCAGTCCTGTACGCTTCCTTACTCATCAGCAGATGGTAAATCGTCGTTTGATGTGGGAGCTTCGCCAGCTTTTCCGGATCCGCGCTCAGTCCGTTGATCTGTTCTACTAGCATCTGCCGCATGTCCACTACGCCAGCAGTCTCAGGGCTAAGTTTCTTAGACAAGTAAGACGGGCACTTGAGGATCATGTTTCTGTAGAGCGTGGAGTACTTGAAACGGACTTGAGTTGTCCCCACGGCGGACATAGCTTGGACAATCGGAGCATTGAAGTGCGGTTCTTCGATAGCATCGACAGAGGATCCAAAGCAGAGGTAGGTTATGATGTCTACTGTTAAGCAGCGGAAGCCGTAGAAGATATCTATGGGTTCTTTTGCGTCGCTCTCACGCCTGAACGCAGCGCAGACAGCGTTGATCTACGTGGACATGGTCGTCAGCTGTCGACTCCAAGTATAACTCCTCCTTGTGAGGACTCAATGCCAACGGATCGCGAGGAACTAGCAAAATCTAATGGCAAGAACAACCAGCGCGAAGCCAACGATTCGGCATGCATCGGACATGTCTTCGAGCACAACTGTCGTCACGAGTGTCTGAAGAGACATCCATGGGATTGCGCCCTCTTTCGCGTACGGAAACATACGTCTAGGTATTCGTCCCGACTGGGTACCCGGCTGAGCTACCTGTTGAGCATCGTGACCTTACCTTCTCCACAATGAGGCCCTGGGTCTGCTCAATCGCGTTGGTCGAGAACACACGATTCATCACGTCTTTCCTTTCCTTCGACTCCGCATATGTTATGGAGCCGAAGGAGGAGTGATTTGCATCGAAGCTGCGGTATAGGATTTCGTCCTTGTCCCAGCGGTTCTTGTTGTTGTAGATGTCGTGATAAGCTTGTGGCTGAGCGAAGTGGAGCTACACGAAGGACGGCACAGTGGCACCGTCTCAGCAACTGCTTTCTGGGTCGCTGCCACGATGGTTGTTCTCGGTATACTCACCTCGTTCGGACCGATACGGACGATGTCGCCTGGAAGAGTCAGTCCAAATCTGGTACAACTCCTGCTGCGGTTGACCTACCATATCGTGCATGCAACTCAACCAGATGGTGCGCAAAAGATCTGACGAGTACACATTCAATCCACGCTTTCCAGAGCGTAGTCGCAGCAGCAATCTTTGGGCCAGGAAATCGCGAAAGAGGATGGAAATAGACGTTGTATAAAGCTCTCTGAACGACGTAGGCGGACCATGCAGCAACAACACCTGCGAGAAGGAATGGGAAGCTAAGGGCCTGGGTGGAGCTCGCCGCTACCTGGGACAAGGAAGCCATTTTGAAGAGATTGGTGTGAGACAATGATCGAGAGCTTTCTCAGCGTAATTTCACCTCGAAGGACGAAGCAAAGGAGCACTTTCGGGAGGCCGCTCAGTCCATTTAACGGAGAGCAAGATGAAGAGAGGGGTGGCCATGACTGCAGCACACGGCATGCCTCACGTAGGACAGACTGCTTAGAGCTTCAGCTACATCCATAGTGTATGGTCCCGGACTAACGCAGTCTCCTCACATGCTGCTTACGCTCACAATCCTGCGCGAGCAGACGACGAGTCACTGGAACTGACTTGTTGTGATTGTCCAATCGTTCTTCCCTAACATGTGGTGCGCCTTAAAGAGGGGCAGATAGACGGCACGCCTGACAGAGTATGAGCCCCGGAGGTAGCAAGCCGTATGAAGGTGAGATTAGGCCCAGCATCTAGAAGCGTAGTGCGACAACTCGCCATAGTAGTCACTGATACCTCTATGAAATGATACTTGTGGCATGGCGTGGAGCGACGACACGTCATTAGGCATGTGTGGCTGTCGAGGTACTAGACTTTCGTGATGGCAACGATAGCCAAGAGTAGAGGCAATGTGAGTTCTACTTTTCTTCTAGTGTTCCTTCTGCTGCTGGCTTTTGCCCGAGACATACGACACACCTGCTAGATAGGATAGATTGTGGATCTTAGGTGATAGCCCGCAGTCAGTGCAGCTCTGGAGTCTTCGACTAGCACAATGAGTGATCTGTAGCCAGGAGTGCTCCATCAGTTGACAGGGTAGGTGGTCAGAGCGCCGCTCATCTCGTTTGGTGGATTATGTTACGAATAAGGATGTCATCCTCAATATCTACCCCTTATAGCTCAGTTGGCAGAGCGTCAGACTGTAATTGCGAAGAAGATTATCTGAATGTCCCCTGTTCGACCCAGGGTGAGGGGAGCTTTTTGCCTTTTCCATGTCCTAAATCGTTTTTCCTCTTCGAGATTACGGCCGACAGATTTTCTTCATGCTTCTGTTTTGCTTACCTTGCGTTTTGGAGTTGCTTTCACTCGATGCCGTCGTGTTTAGTGGTGCAACAAGTCGCAAGAAACACCCGATCATTAGTCAGCCGTGCAAAATCCGCTTAACCCGTTTCGTCTCGCAGGTCAATCCCGTCAACATCTACCATGTTGGTTTATCTCGATCCTTCGTAGGTTCAAGACCAAGACGTTATGCGTGCACTACGATCATGAACTCAGGAACTTCTACGTAACTGGAACTGTACTAGGCGCGACCATACCAGAAACAGCAAAGAGCGCAATTAGGACCGTACGATCCTAAGCAGTTCGACACTACGAAAGCGAAGTGACTTCCCCGTCGATGAGGCGGAACAGCGCGACTATGTTGATCTGTATATGGCAACGAACGGGCTCGTCGCCAGGTTTGAGAAGGCGTTGAAGAGGATTTCCCGCTCACCTGCTCTCCTGTCCGACTTCCCCAACTCGAAGAGCGACAAGAGGCGCAGAGAGGAGCGACTACAGGTCGCTGGTCGTAGCACTCGGCGCACTTCCGCGGCGAGCCCTTCACAACATTGTCACGATAGCTAGTTGGGTTCTACATGCCTGCTCCTGCTGCTGCTGCTTCTGGTTATCGCCCAATACATACGAGCACGACTGCCACCCGAGACAGCTCATGGATCTTAGGCGATAGTCCGTAGTAGATGCAGCTTTCGAGTCTCTCGACTGCGGCAACCAGTGACCTGTAGTCGTGAGGCTTGGCAACTTTTACGACCCAAGTGGGGTTTTAAACGGTTTAGATGTGCTTTTCTGATGCAATATGTACTACAGTCTCTAAGGTTCTCGGCACTGCATGCCGGTCTCGTGCATGTGAAGTGGTAGCTAGTAGTAGAAGCAGCAGGGTTAGTTACTGCGAAGGACCTCACGCGCGAGGAATTTAGCAATAGACGAACCCCTAATATTTGGGGGATCTCGTATATTTCGAGCGACAGCCCGCAGCAGAAGCGACACTGTCGAGATCAGACGATCAATCCGCGAACGTGTGACAACTGAGTATCTACATGTCTGGTTCTGGTTCAACCGATCTCGCAGTCTTACGTACACAAGTTACATGCTTTCCCTGATCCACGTCCAGACCTTGACGAAGTACTCTTCATCCACTGGCCTGACCGCTCTGAGCGCAGGAATGTCCTTCTTCGTCTGAGTTAGTGTGAAGCACACGGGAGGTACCTCTCTCCCCTCCTCGCCCTCTTCGTTCTCCCCATACGCCTTCTTCCAGTGACCCAGCAGTTTCATTGCAGGATGTTCCGCATACTTTGGGTTCTCCGCGATGTCTTCCAATTGCTTCACCCACTCCTCGGGGCTTACTATTCTGAGCTGCGTCACTCGCTCGAATGTTGACGTTTTCTGCGTCATCGCGTCGCTTTCGTTGGCTGTGAGAGGCTTCCAGGGGATGACCGACGAGTTGTACCCTTGTTTGCTCTCGTAGTCTTTCAACCACTTCAGCAGATCCAGCCATTGTGGTGTTTGGTGTTCGTTCAGAACGTGGAAGATCTTGGTGTTTGCTGCTCGCTCAATGTTAGGGCGATCGAGGCTCTCAATCCCCTGAATGAGTGCTTCAGCTGCTATGTCGACGGGAAGCCAGTTGAGCGGCTCATTTTGAAGCCCTGGAAGGCTTCCGGTTAGTTTGACGCTTGACAGCATCATCGGCCACGCCTCCTTCACATTCCAGATACCGTTCTTGCTGTCCCCTGAGAGCTGGCCGACTCTGAATACGGCGACTCGGTGGCGTATTCGAGTGGCGCGGGCCGCGTTGGCGCAGATGTGTTCGGCCACCCATTTGCTGCGAGAGTACCCCAGAGGAGTGGCTACCCCAGGATCATCAAGGATGGTCTCCGGGATTTTTGGTGTCGCTTTGTAGTTCAAAGCGCTAGCGACCGAGGAGCAAAACGCGAATTTTGGAGGTTCGGCTTTGGGCGACTGGAGGGCGAGGTTGATGAGATTTCGGACACCTACGAGAGGATCAGCGAAGGTAGGTAGTATATGTGGAGAGGGGGGCTTGGCCTTAATCGTACAGCTTCACTTACCAGCGATGTTGTCCTTGATAAAACTTTTCAGCCTCATACGGAAGTTTACTGACCATGCTACGTGCATGATAATTGTCACCTCTTCCGCTATCCTTTTATAAACCTCATCGCTCAATCCGAGATGTGGATCGCTAAGCTGAGCTTGCAACACAACGACTCTGTCGTTCTCGCTGTGTTCAGCAGGCAAAGGTGAGAGACCTCTCTGCTCGAGAGCTTTACTAACTCTTTCATGTGCAGCATGAGCATCAGCACCGCGAACCAGACAGTAGATCCTGGATACCTTGTCTGACGCTCGGTAGGAATTCAGTATGTGTGCACCGAGGGCACCGGTGGCACCTGTGAGAACCACTACGTCTCTTTTGATGCCACTACCGTGATCATGGACAGGTTCGTTCCTGGATCCTCTCTTTTGCACTTCTTCAAAGACGCTGTACTCTTCCACGGTATCCCTCATGAGCTTATGCTCCTCCTCATCGGTGGCATCGGATACACACATCTCGCCGTGCCGTTGCTTGAGAACAAAGTTTGCGAGTCTCCGCACATTTCCGCAATCCTCGACTACGTTCAGCGGCATCTGGTTCGAATCTTTCGGCAGGAGCTGCCGGAGGAAGTATCTGATCTGCATGCCCGCCACCGAATCCACACCGTAGGAGAAAAGATCTGTATCTGCCCCCAACAGCTTCGCCCCCTTCTTTGCTACGACCGTCCTGATAATACGTTCGACCGTTTGCAACACTTCTTCGTCCGGCACGTCGTCTACCACGTCCTTCCCAATCCCTTCGTAGACTTTTCGAATCTCTTCTGCGTATTTTTCTTCAGCAGGTCCTCTCAGAATAGTGCCTTTGCTGCTCTTCTCAAGCGGCGTTTTACAGTGAGGCATAGGGTGCAACATCCTCAGTGGTATTCTCGCATGGTCCTGACTCCCGTTGTTCAGCTCTTCAATTGGTGCTCTGAGCTTTTCAATAAGCGCTTCATCAGATGAATTCGCCGACTCGGCAGAGCGAAAAAGTAGCGCCCCAGGAAATGGTTCACCGTTTCCAAAGATCAGTACGTCGTCCAGCAATGGTGAGGCAGCAATGGCAGATTCAAGAGGAGCGGGATCGAATTTCTTTCCAGTAATCAGAGTCAGCTGGGAATCTGCTCGAGAGTGATACTTCCATGCGTTCTGGATCTCTGGATGAGGCGCAAACAAGTCCGCAGTAGCAAATGAGCCATCCTCGCGGTTGGTCTTAGCCTAAACAATGTCAGCCCGGTTGAAGGCGTGGAAGGCGTGTATTTCATCGTGTCCTCACCATGTGAGGCCAACCTTTCATGATGACCAGCTCTGAAGTACCGTCAGATTGCGCCTCAAACCTGAGTGCATCAGCTCCTTGACTACTCCGTAAGTATTGCCATTCCTTGTCTTTCTCGTACTCTCGATGAGAGGACATCAGAAAGCCGCACTCAGCACTCCCGAACCTCGATATGAGGTTAACCCTTTTTCGTACCAGCCGGTCGCCTACTTCAGCGGGAAGAGCAGCACCACCAACACCTACAATGTCCATACCCGTGAGGTACCGCAACCCCTTCTCGTCGGCTTCCATCATCTGCAGAACATATGGCACTGACGAAAAGTACTTGACTGGAGGGGTATCTCTCAATTCGATATCATTCGCTGCGACGTCGAGACATCGGATGATATTGCTTGCTGTGATGGGAATTTCTCTACCTGGAAATAGCCATATCATGGCTCCACTGGTCCACGCTCTAAACAAGTCTGCAATGCCACCGTGATACAGTGGCGTGGTAGTAAAGCATGCTCTTTCATGACCATCGGGAAAGCCGGGGAGGACACCAATAGCTGCGCGATGAGTTTGTGGTATCGGCTTAGGGAGCCCAGTAGAGGTTCCCGATGTGTGATGTAGATATGCCACGGATGTCTCTTCGATCCCCAGTGACTTATATGTGATTCCATGAGGCGGCCGTCGGGTGCAGCCAACAACGTCCTTGTCTTCGGAACGACGGAACGGAGTTAAGGTGATCGTGAAATTTTCGAACCCATCCGCAGCCATCAGATGCTTTGCCTGCTCTGCCTGCTGCTCATACGCACCATCACCATAGTCACCGTCGTAGAAAAGGTAGTCTACGTTGCATGCTTTGCAAAGATGAGCAATAGCAGCCGGTTGGCATTGCGGAGCGAGAAGCAAGACGGAATGGCCAAGCCTCATCAAGGCCAGCCATGTGAACAGGAACTCCTCGGAACTTGGACATAGCAGCGCAAACGTCTGTCTTTCTGACAGTACAGGAGAGTGCTCTCCTTTGCTCAGCTGGTCAAACAGTAGCTGTGCCACATTAAGCGAGCCACGTTGAATGTCCTTGAAAGAGAAGACGGACGACTTCCATGGTCCAGATGCATCTTTGGACGGCGGTTTTGGAAACCCCACAGCTGGTTGATCAGGTACTTGCTCCGCTTGATAATCGATGAAGTCGTTGATGTTGGCGAAGGTTCGATGCCCATGTTCGGCTTTCAGAACAGCGGCTTGGCCAAGGGTACATACGAAGTAATCTACGTTCATGCTGCAGAATTTTCTCAGAGGACAGCCAACTGACCGGCGTGATGGTTGTGCTGCAGTACGGTGTAAGATCGCCGCTGTGTCCTCCGAGTTGTTACCGGTTACAATTTGGAGGTGGAAGAAGTCCAGTGTGTCATTACCCACGCCTAATGCCAAGAAGGGTTCTTGAAGTAAAACCTCGTCCACCACCACGCACCGCTGATGCTGGTCAGTCATATCCTACCTATTGTGGTGCCTATGCCATTGGCTGTTGCTCGAAATTTGAAATGTCTTGATACTAGCGAGGCGGCTTTTGCTGCTTGTAT